AACAAATAGTTTCTCATTAAACAGTCAGTACACATATTGTTTTATGACATTGGTTAACAACTCCACAACATGTCAACACTCTCCCTTCTCAACCTTGGAGGACCTTTTTTTATTTTGGTGAAAATATACATAGCCAAAGATACACCATTTGAAAAATTTCTACATGTACAATTCAGTGACGTTGTTTACGTTCTTCCAGTTGTGCTGCTGTTCTCCTGTGTTAGTCTGGATGGAAATTTTATCCAGCAATTTTGCTGAGATCACCGGGCTTCTGAAGTTACAGTAGTGCTATCCACTTTCTCTACTAGGCCTTTGGGTCTTTGGATCAAATGAGGCCTCTCGGCACCGGAGAAAAAGATATGAGGGGATGAGGGTAAAATGCCTCATTTAGCTTCCCTTGTTTGATACCTGGGCTATTGGCAATTCCTGTTTATCTCCAGTTAACAAATAACACAAAATAAAATTCAGTTTATTAAGAAAGAAAAAAATTAGAAAAATGGTAACAAGAAAAATAATGACAAGAGCCCTTTGCATAGCATAAACTAAGGGATTAATTGCGGAAAGGGATAAGGTGCGTAGGGGTGCTCAGGCTACATCGGAGGCAGAGCTGGGCTCCTTCCCTGTGCGGAATATCCCACGGGGCTGGTGCTGGCTGAGCCATGGGCTGAGAGCTGCCAGTCCAAGGGGCATAGGGAAGCAGGAAGATCAGGGTTTTTAGAATAAGTCAGGAACAGAGCAGACAAGGTTTATTATGCTGCATATTTGCATACAGGAACATTGGTGGTTCAGTGGGAGAATTTTTTTGCCTACCACGCTGGAGACTGTTTAGCAGACCGTGGCCCAGGACTAGGCAGCATTTCTTTCTGCCCCATAAATCGAGGGCAGCTAACAACAACGTTTGCATACAGAATTTCCAGGATGCCAGTTGGCTAAACAACTTCTCTTTTCTGGAAACTGGTTGAAATAAGTCTTATAATTTTTGGTTTCAGTGTTTAAAGGAATCTATACAAACAATTTAATTGATCAGAAATATTGCCCTCAGAAACTAACTCATCGACTAACCAGGTGCCTTGGAGTTAATTCCGACTCATGGTGACCCCATGTATGTCAGAGTAGAACTGTGCTCCATAGAGTTTTCAGTGGCTGATCTTTTAGAAGTAGATCATCAGGACTTTCTTCTGAGTCACCTCTGGTGGACTCCAACCTTTTGGTTAGCAGCCAAGCGTGTTAACTGTTAGACTGATGTTGAAGAACGTGGGCAAGTAGGCATTGGAGATAAATGCCCTGGCCAAAGATATGAATTGGTAGCAAAACTTCACTTAGTAAAGTGTGGATTTGGGAAAAAGAGGAAGGAAGTGTCTCTGAGGGTGATCGAGAAAGCTACTTTGAGTATAATGCCCTTTTTCTTTTTTTATACAAACACGTATATAAGTTTTCAGTGTTAAGAACTTTTAGTTCCCCATATTTTGTCTCTATATCAGGTAAGTACCAGGAGAGGTGTCCACGAGCTAAAATAAATTAGGGTATTTGGTGTAACCAGAGCGACAGTAGTCCACTTCTATTTGAAACCTTCCCCTCCCCTCTGAGTTCCCACTGCTTGGTGGTAAATACTCCAAATTACGATGGCGCTGGCTAAAGTTGGTGAATACACTGTGTGCCTGTTTTTTTTCTTTAGGCTGATTTTGATAGGGCCGCAGAAGATGTGAGGAAGCTGAAGATGAGGCCCGATGATGATGAACTGAAAGAACTCTATGGGCTCTACAAACAGTCTATAATTGGAGACATTGATATTGGTATTATATCAGCATTTTAAAAACAATGTAATATTTTGTTTGAACAATGTTTATAGAAACATACAGTGAGAAGTAAACTTGAAACTATATCTTCCTTCTTTTGGCAGAGTGCCCAGGAATGTTAGATTTAAAAGGCAAGGCTAAATGGGAAGCCTGGAACCTCCAAAAAGGTTTTTAATTCTTAAACAAGTTAAAACAAATTTTCTTAATTTCCCGATACACCAAACAGTGAAATAATCTGTTTTTCTCTTTCTAGGGTTGTCGAAGGAAGACGCTATGAGCGCCTATATTTCTAAAGCTAAAGACCTGATAGAAAAATATGGAATCTAGAATTCAGCATATGAGAAATTTTTCTCGTGGAAGCCTTCAGAATGGTATAATAACCCAACTTTTAGGGGAGAAATGCACTGTTAACTCTTCATGTCTCATGTATATTTTTGCTAATTAACATGAATTGTAATACTTAATTAGAAGTACACTGAAATGACATATGAATAAATTTTACTGGCTTAAATCAGGTGATTTTTAAAGTTCTCTTAAATAATAATCACTCTGGTAGTGTGTACACAAAAACATTAGCAATTGTTTATTCTTTTGGTTTATCTGTTTTTCTATAATAAGTTAGTATTACTTCTGTAATAAAAACAGTTTATTAAGAATCAGTAACCAAACCATTGCTCTGTTACACCTTGTCTCTCTGGGGTTCACACCGAAGCAGGCTCTTTGGAATAACAGACATTCCTCATTTAAGTTCTCAATCTGTGATTTACGTGCTAGGTGACCTGGGAAAAGTTATTTCACCTTGCTAAGCCTCATCTGTAGAGTAGGGAAAATAATATCAGTCTCATAGGATTGCTGGAAAAGTTGAATGAGATAACTAGAATTATCCTATCCTCATTTTAGAGCAAATACTACATAAAACATAAGAACAAATAAGCTGAAAATGTTAAAAGAAAACAAAAACTTGTGAGTCTGTCTATAGCTCTTCAGAGAAAAAAGTCATCGTGGAAATATCTGCTGTTTTTCTATAATTTTTACATTTAAGTCACAAATTAAAAAATCAGACTAAAATATAGTATCTAGTAATATCAGTGAAAATGTAAAGTCTGGAAATCACATTAGTCCAATACTCAGTCTTGCCCATACACAAGCTCTCTGAAAGACAGTCTCATTTTAACAGTTCTAAAACCTATTTGAGATCCCATAGGATAAATATCCCCCAAAAAATTGTACCAAATTTTAAAAGAGAAAGAAAAGAAAAAACAGAGAACAGAGAAGCAAACAGTATACCTCTGTTCTCTGCATAAAGGTTTAGGTTCGATATGTTATGACCGAAGGGACAGACTGAGTTCATGTTACTAAAAAAAATCTAGGTTAATTTCTAATCTGGAAATGTTTGGAAAGTGAGGCTCATTCCCGTCTTTACTAAGTGTTCCCTAAAGGTAACCTGAAGTCTTCCACAGTGAAGCCAAGGCCCTGATCCCTCAAGGAGAAAACAGCAGCAGCAGTAGCCCTGGACCCTTCCAGCCAAGGGCTTGGAAACTCAGGGCTCTTCCCACACAGACTTCACCTCCACCAGGTAGAGAGATAGGAGGGAAGGTCCACCCCAAAAGCCTGGCATTGGCTACACCCTGAGACCGCTTTGTGGACTATATTGAGCAAAACATTTTCAAATTAATCATCATGAATCCAAATTACTGTTGTACTAATCCTTCAGTAAGGGAACCCTGGAAATGGTATCAAAGTAGAGCACAACACATACTAAATATTTAACATAGGTTGTTTCACCTTTCTTTAACAAAATTTTAGCCCAAATTTATTATGGGAATTCTAACTCAAAGCCCTCCCCACCATAATGAATTTTATATTATTTGTACTTTGTTAAAAGGGAATGGTAAATTCTGAAAGATACCACCTATATGTATTTTCATTCATCTTATTTACTAAGACTGTAAGTATATTATCTTTAAAACAAAAAAACCAAACCCATTGCTGTTAAGTCAATTCCAACTCATAGCAACTCTATAGGACAGAGTAGAACTGCCCCATAGGGTTTCCAAAGAGCAGTTGGTAGATTTGAACTGCTGACCTTTTGGTTAGCAGCCGAGCTCTTAATCGCTGCGCCACCAGGACTCCGTACTATCTTTACATAAAGTAACAAAAACATGATCCCATATTATGTGATTATACACATAGCAATGCTTTAAAAGTTAGCATAATACTATGTTAAGCAATTTAACTTATAAGAAAGAGGCATTGGTCACATTAAGGAGTGAAGTTTATTGTGAAGTTCAGTGGGGAATAAGCAAATCAGAGGGGTCTGATTGCACAGCCAGGCCTCGAAGAGACAGAAACGTTTGGGAATTGACAGTTCAGCAACCATGCGACTCTGAGGATAAGGTGACTCTTCATTCCCTTCAGTAGGCATTTGTGGGTACAGTTGTAGTGTTCTGCCATTATTCTGACTCAGGTAATTTTCTCTATTTGTGCTTTTTTCCCTCCTCTTAGTTCCTGTTTGTTTCCAATTGTTCTGCTTTCTCCCTATGTCAAGTTCAGATTATCGCAGAGCAAGACTTCAGATCATCGCAGAGGGAGCCTATTGGGCATGGCATTTGTGCTGGACCATTCCATATGCCACTGAGCAGACTTCAATATATGTTGTCCATGAAGGACTCACCCTGGGTCCTAATCAGTTATTGCCAGGATAGCCGGGCCACACAGAGCCCACAGGCAATTGATGGAGAAGGAACCCTTTAGCAGGGGGCCCAGGGTGGCAGGCATTCTGAGGACTTGTTAGGACAAACTACAATAATGGCTTAGGGCTATCTTATTTTACTAAGGCTATAAATTGCATTTTCCTATTAAACAGGAATACCCTATATTTCCAAAGAATAGATCAACCTTTGAGCGACAGCATGTAAATGAAACAGTAACTAAATATCAAGCATTTCCCGTCAATCATTCCCACTGTTAAAATAATTGAAGAAGAAATGGACAATTTACCAAGCAGGCATTTTGTTGACAAACTGCCCACAAATGAGAATCTAAGGTGATTCTAATGTGAAGATAAAGGATTCTGCCAGACCTTTTCTTTTCTTTGGTCTCTAGATGCATAAGTGTCCCATGGAGAAAACATTTACATATAACAAGTCAGCCTGACAATAGAAAATGTATAACTTTCATCTCTGAATAAAATTAATGAGCTACTTCTGAACAATTAAGAAGAATATCATGTAATTGCTTTGACTATTTTAAGACCAAAAGGAAAAATATCTAATAACAGGAAAGTGTGGATAGTTCTAGACACTTGGTTATGTAGTTCATGATGAAGGTCTCATTGGAAGGTTCTGTAAGATAAAAATGATCTCCCGGAAGCCTGTGCATATAAAAACTTCCAGTGGTTACATCTTTCCAGGCTAAAAAGAAACAACAGTATATTTAATAACAAGTGATACCAACTACAACAAAAGATTTACTTCCCCATATCATTTCTCTAAGAGCTGACACCTAGTGGTAGAATTAGTTTCAAGGTGTCGTGTTCTATGTGTCCTGTATTTTTAATGTCTTTAAGACCTACCAGAACACAGCAGAATTACATGCATTCTCTCATTTTGCGCACAACCAACACCTCTCCATTTCAGTGGAATAAAACTTGGGCCAGTTTTCCATTCGTATAGTAACTGCTAGTTGACATTAATTAAACCCTATTGAAGAAATATTTCAATAATATACCCCCAACTAACAAAATAATCTCACCTTCCAAATCCTTTACTGCTGTGTCTTCAGATCCAATAAAACACGATAAGTCACAAGAAAGAACAGCCTCAAATGGAGTATCAAAGCTGTAAACAGAAAAGAGCTCATTAATACTTTTTCATAATTGACGTCTCAGAATCTTTTCTTAACCTAGTAACTTCATTTAAAGGAAACATGGTGTGTCCTCATTTCTTTCTCTTTCGCGATTTCCATGCAAACGTTTTTTCATCAATGGCACTGTTACCTATCAGAACCTGTCTGAGACTCACTGTGGTCCAGGCCATTTTCCAAGGCCATCTAACTTCTGGAACACTACAAGTTGCCAGCAGATGGCTCCCGGGTATGCAGTCCAACTCAGAGTGAGGCCCGTTACAACTAGTACTTCCAACTGTTGTTCCCCAGAAATGACTGCTGTTGTTGTTGGGTGTTGTCAAATCAACTCTGACCCATAGCCACCCCAAGTGACAAAGCAGAACTGCCCCATCAGGTTTTCTAGGCTATAATCTTTACAGGAGCAGATTACCATATCTTTCTACTGTGGAGCCACTGGGTGGATTCGAACCACCAACCTTTTGATTAGCAGTTGAGTGCTTAACCGTTGAGCCACCAGGGCTCCTTAGAAATGACTACCTCTCTGGTATTTCCCAGCTCTCCATGGTCCAGCAGAGAGTTGAAATGTTTGAGCAAGCGGGGCCTCTGAGTTTTTTTTTTAAATCTATTCTCAGTTTAATCACAACAACAATATTTACTGAGGTAGATGCTGGGTGCTGTTCTAGCCACTAGGAACACATTGATAAACAAACACAGTCCCTGCCCACCTGCAGCATACACACTGCCTGGAAACAGAGATATTAGTAATCAGACAACTAGAGAGATTTGTAAGTGTAACCAAGTCCTGGGTGATTTGAGAACACTGGGCAGAAGGGTAAGGTAGGTTTAGGGTTGGGGAAGGTTTCCCTGGGAAAATGGAGTTGGGTCTGAAATCTGAATGAATAGGAAAAAACTTGGCAAAGGGGATACAGGCAGGAGGGAAGGAGGGAATAGAATGAGCTTAAATCAATGGCTGTTGTTTAAAGAATGAAGTGGGGGGGTATTGGAGCAACTTAAAGTAGAAGAGGCAGGCAAGGGCCGAGTCTAGGCCATGTAAAGGATTTTTGGTCTTCCTTGGAGTAATAGGAAACCACGACAAAAGATCTAAAAAAAGAATCAGCTACAATTTTAACAAACTGTTGGAGACCAAGTGTGGGATGGTGGGACAGATTGGAATAGCCAGAGGCCCCAAACACAGAGGGAATTCACACTGACTCGAAGGCTCTTTCCCATAGGCCTCCAATAAGGGCTCACTAGAAAGATTAGGAGCAAGGCAGGAAGCCAGAGAGAGCAGAATATGGGGCAGTAGCCATAGTGGCACAATGGTTAAGTGCTCCACTGCTAACTGAAACGGTGGTGGTTCGAACCTACCTAGAGGCTCTGTGGTAGAAAGACCTGGTGACCTGTTCCCATAATGATTACAGCCTAGGAAACTCTATGAAGCAGTTCTACTCTGTCACATGGGGTCACTATGAGTGGGAATAGGCTCAATGGCACCTAACAACAACAATATGGACAAGCACGAAAGCCTGCCCCCTGTCCAGACCTTTCTCTCATATTAAGCAAAAGCCTTAAACTGCTGGAGGAGGGGCAGCAAACTCTCTCTGGCACAAGTGAAGACCCATTGCCAGGGAAAGGATAAAAATATTAACTCTCTATCCTTGGGGAAGGGGTAGGAAACTCTCCTGGACCCACAGTTATATACCAAAACCAAGCAGAGGTCAGCTACTGCTGGGAATGGGCAGGAAACTTCCACACAAGATCAATCACAGTTTCAAGACAAAATGTGGTTGCAACAGGGAGAAGGGGCAGGCCTGCTGAGAAAGTCCCACCCCAAAGCCTAGGCACAGAGGTCCTGTCTAAGAAGGAAATGTAAGACTGACTAGGACACCCAAGAGTTTTCAGTGCTACCCCACCAGGCTAACACACACTGAGGAACGAGAACAGCAATCTACTATGGGGGAGGGGCAAGAGCATGGAGAGAAATCAGCTATGAGGATCAGGTGCGCAGGCAAGACTGAAAGATGAGGGTGGAGCAGAAATAGTGAGAAAAATTTCTCTGTCAACCCAGCCCCCATACTAAACAGATAGGGACACCAGAGGAATTTGAAGCTGTGGTACACTGAAGGTCGCTACAGTAATAACAAAACCCAAACCCAGCTCAACTCTAGACTCGATTGACTCAACACTAACGGCCTGACAGAGGGAGAGCTGTGGTCATCATCAGTCATAAAAAATGTTTATTTCAATCTCTACTGTTTTATGCATGACTGACTTTCAATAGAAAACTTCCAGACACACAAGAAAGCAAGAAATAAAAAACGTAAAGAGACAAAATAATCGAATCTGACTTAGATATACACCAGATGTTAGAACTGACAGAACAAGCACTGTAAAATAATTATGATTAATATGTTATAGGATTTAGTGGGGAAAAGTGGACAACATATATGGACAAATGAAAAATTTCAGTTGAAAGGCAAAAACTAAGAAACAGTCAAATAGAAATGCTAAACATTAAAACCGCAACAGAAACAAAGAATTCCTTTGACAAGCTCTTCATGAGTAGACTTGACACAGATGATCAAAGAGTCAGTGAACCTGAAAACAGTCAATAGAAATTATCCAAACTGAAATACAAAGGGAAAAAAACAAAAAGAACAGAGCCTCCAAGAGCTGTGGGACAGTAACAAATAGCCTAAATGTGTGTTATCAGAGTTCCAGAAGAAGAGAGAACAGTGCAATAGTCCAGGCAAGAGATGAGGACAGCTTATATGAGTTGGGAGTAGCCTTGGCCTCTGGAACTTTCTACCTGTCACAGATTTCTATTTTGGCCCCAGGCTCTGAGCCTTACTGGTAGTTAATGGGGGAGGAAAAGAACTGAGAGAAGCTCTATAGGCCTGATCTTACTTATACTAGAAAGAGCTGAAAGCTAAGGAAGAGTAAAGACAGAAGAACAGATTGAGAACAGGAAAGGAGCAGGTGAGAAGAGAGGAGAAGAGTCTAGAAAGCTGGGTTCTGGGAAAGTTTTTGGAATCTGGAGAGAGGAAGCTAATTAAGAGTTATGGATATCGCAATTTGGTTCCGAGAGTGAAAATGTTAAGATTTTCTATATTCTATGAGCGAAATATTACATTGAGTGATTTGTTTTTTATTTTTGGTTTTTGGGAGGTTTCTTTTGAGAGCTTTCAGTAGTGAGGTTTTTGTTTTGTTCTGAAAAAAATTTGCTTGTAGTTTGTACGTGCCAAACCCTTTACTAACCATGATCTCACTTAATTCTTCAGGGAGTTACTGCTATTATCCCTTTCTTTGATAGTAAGACAAACTGTTAAAGAAAGTTGCTCAGAATCTCACTGCTAGTTAGCTGCAGGCAGAGGGTTCTGGTCCTGGTAATTGGACTCTAGAGGTTACATGTTTAATCACGTGCAAGGCTTAATTATTAAAACAAAACACATTTTACATGTATTATTCCGTTGAATGTCCATAGTGATTTGGCTTATTTTTGGATATCAGAATGGTGTTTGTGCTAAGCCAGACACACAAGACAGTTTGGCTTCTGAAAATTACATATGGGTGAACATGGTTGGGATGGAGATGGAGAGATATGGACAGACTTGGGATTTAGGTGGTAAAGGTGACTGGATTTAGGGATACATTGGAGAGCGGTAGTCAATGGAGGGAAGTGTCAAAGATGAATGGGATTGTCTCTATTCTCAAGGTGCTTCAAGTCTGCTCCACTTTTTATGGCTATTTGTATAAACTTCTATTAACAAGTACTGTCCATGGAGACCCACATGCCCAGTTCCAGGCTCTGTTGAGGAAATAAAAGAAGCATAGGACCAAGCATCTGCCTTCAAAGAATTTATACTGAGGTGACAAGGACCAGGCAAAACAGAAGAAATACATGGCAGTATATAAGGGTGACTAAAGGCCAATTGCTGACCTCACAATAAATGCTATGGGGCAGTTAGAATAAGAAGAGCCATTTGTGGGTTTAGATTATTGGGGAAGGCTTTACAGAGTATTAGGACTTCAGTCCTACCAGATGAATTAAGCATCAATCCAGGCATCCCACAAGACAAAGGAATGGGCAGGTACCATGGAACAAAATGAGTTCTGGGACGAAATTCCCAAAAAGCAAACCTAGCAAACCACTCCTCCTTCCCTGGTTCACCTCCACACTTAATTCATTTTAAAGTTCTGAAAGAAGACTTCCAACAAGTGGTTATCTACTTCTGCTGACCCCTCTAAGAAGATGAGAATTCTTTGGCATTAATTCATTCAAGAAATATTTATTACATGATTTTAAAAAATGTGTGTTGCTCTATATATACATATTTTAAAGAAAAATATGCTCTATTCACCTTTTATAAATACAATTTCTGTGCCAACACTCCACTAGGTGGAATTTTAAGCCAGTACAAATATTATAGGTGGCCCCAAAGGAAATGAAATCTAACTCCTAGAATGTTGTCATCTGGTACATGTAGACTCAGAGAACTGCCAATCTACATATTTCTATAGATAATCATAAAAAAAAACTTGTCTTAGTTACTTACATAAAATTACTAATCATGCGAAAATCTGCCAGCAGTATGGGAACATGTTGTTGAAAAAGCTCCTCGTTGTCAATAAAATTTTTGATAGTAGTTTCAGTACTCAGGAGGAAATGACTAACCGCTTCTTCTGTTATTTCTTTTCCTTCTGGAATGCGAGGCCGGAACTTTGACTTGAAACATTAACAACACAGGCCTAAAATTTCATATCATGCACTTGTTCATAAACTGAAAACTATCTATCTAAGGAAAAGTCATTAAATTGAGGTTAGGAAGTGGACTTTCTTATCTGCAGGTTTTAAGGGAGACCTATTTCTTTTTAAAAACAGGGAGAAGAAAGTTCCTCAGCAGTGCCAGGGTCATCATGCCACCAAAAAAGGCAGTCTAGACTTAGATTCCCAGATCAATCAGGATCTTCTTCAGATTAGGAGAGGGAGATCAAAAGAGTAGGAGGAAAAGGAGCTGAACAGCAGCACTGGGTTTATAAACTCAGGTTCTTTCAGAAAATGTTATACACTGCCCCCTCTTGAGGTTTCCAGGATTCTTTCCCGGCTCTTCTCCAGTTACTTTACTGAAAGTTGACTAAGCTCCCAGCTGACCCAGGATGAAAGAAAAAGCGCTTATGGTCAGTATTAGCTAGCAGGTGCCAGGGGCAGTGCAGACAAGGACTAGTGAACAATCAAAGTGAATTTCGGAGAAATGAAGAGATGGTGATATTGAAAGAGGTCTGAGGGACTCTTCATTACCAAGTTACACCCCTGCCATTGGCCCCACCCTGGACAAACGTTCACCAGATAACAAAATAAAAAACCAGTCGTTGTCAAGTCGATTCTGACTTTCCGTGACCCTGTGTATGTCAGAGTAGAACTGTGCTCCATAGGGTTTCCATGGCTGATTTTGGGAAATTAGATCATCACGATTTTCTTCCAAGATGCCTCTGGGTGGAATTGAACTGCCAATCTTTTGGTCAGTAGCTGGTTGTTTGTGCCACCCAGGGACTCCTAGTAAAATAAGGACTTGATATTTTTTTTCCCATCTCCCTCCTCTCAACCTCCTACCTAAGGAAAAATACATTACTTACGTGAGGAGCAGGTGTACTTGACACAAAGAAATGCATTGGTTCTAGCTTATGTTTTTCTTTTAGATGTAGTGCAGTCGTAAAGGCAATATAGGATCCCATGCTAAATTCAGGAAAGAAAAACATAATAATAACTGTTCAGCAAAACTCATGATAATCCACCCTAAGCCAACAAGTATTCTAAACAGCAGTGCCATGAAATAGTGAAAAGAAAAACATATTCTAGTCGACTAATAACTCCAATCTATTTGTAAAAGGTATTTTTTATGGTGTTTAGGTGAAAGTTTACAGGGCAAATTAGTTTCTCATTCAAAAATTTATACACAAATTGTTTTGTGACATTGGTTGCAAACCACACAATGTGGCAGCACTCTCCCCCTTGTCCCTTTACACTCCAGGTTTCCCATGTCCATTTGTCCAGTTTTCCTGTCCATCCCTGCCTTCTTGTCTTTGCTTGTGGGCAGGAGTTGCCCATTAGGTCTCCTATACTTGACTGAACTAAGAAGCACGTTCCTCATGTGTTATTGTTTGCTTTATGTTGTTGCTGTTAGGTCCGTCAAGTCAGTTCCAACTCATAGAGACCCTATGTACAACAGAACGAAACCCTGTCTGGTCCTGCACCATCCTCACAATCGTTGTTATGCTTCAGCCCATTGTTGCAGCTACTGTATCAACCCATCTTGTGGAGGGTCTTCCTCTTTATCACTGACCCTCTAATCTACCAAGCATGATGTCTGTCTCCAGGGACTGTCTAATCTTTGGCTGAAAGGTGGACTTCAGGAGTGGCTTCAGTTCTGAGTTAGCAGGGTGTCTGGGGGCCATAGTCTCAGGGGTCCCTCCAGTCTCTGTCAGACCAGGTAAGCCTGGCCTTTTTTTGTGAATTTGAATTTTGTTCTACATTCTTCTCCCACTCTGTCCAGAACCCTCTATTGTGATCCCTGTCAGAGCAGTCAGTGGTGGTAGCCGGATCCATCTATTTCTTCTGGGCTCAAGCAGGGGGAGGCTGTGATTCATGTAGTCCATTAGTCTTTGGACTAATGTTTTCCTGTGTCTTTTGTTTTCTTCATTCTCCTTTGCTCCAAATGTGATGGGACCAATGGATGTATTTTAGGTGACTGCTCGCAAGCTTTTAAGACCACAGATGCTACTCACCAAAGTAGGATGTAGAGCATTTTCTTTATGAACTATGAGATGCCAGTTGACCTAGATGCCCCCTGAGACCATGGTCCTCAGCCCTCAGCCCCAGTAACTCAGTCCCTTAAGGTGTTTGGATGTGTCTAGGAAGCTTCTATGGCTTTTCCTTAGTCAAGTTGTGCTGACTTCACCTGTATTATGTGTTGTCTCTCCTTTCACCAAAGTTAACACTTGTTTACTCTCTAGTTAGTGATTTTCCCTGCCCACCCATCCCCTCACACGTAATCATCAAAGATTTTTTTTCCCTGTTTGTAAACCTTTTCTTAAGCTTTTATAATAGTGGTCTCATACAATATTTGTCCTTTTGTGATTGACTTATTTCACTCAGCATAATGCCCTCCAAATTCATCCACGTTGTGAGATGTTTCATGGATTCATCATTGTTCTTTATCTTTGTGTCGTATTCCATTGTGTGTATGTACCATAGTTTGTTTATCCATTTATCTGTTGATGGACACTTAGGTTGTTTCAATCTTTTTGCTATTGTAAATAATGCTGCAATGAACATGGGTGTACATATGTCTATTCGTGTGAAGGCTCTTATTTTTCTAGGATACATTCCTAGGAGTGGGATTGCTAGATCATATGGTATTTCTATTTCTAGCTTTTTAAAGAGGCACCATATCATTTTCCATAGTGGTTGTACCATTTTGCATTCCCACCAGCAGTGTCTAAGAGCTCCAATCTCCCTGCAACCTCTCCAATATTTGTTATTTTCTGTTTTTTTGATTCGTGTCAGTAGTGATGGGTGAGATGGTATCTCATTGCAGTTTTGATTTGCATTTCCCTAAAGGCTAATTTCCTCATGTGTCTGTTAGCCGCTTGAATGTCTTCTTTGGTGAACTGTATGTTCATATTCTTTGCCCATTTTTTAATTGGGTTATTTGTCTTTTTGTTATTGAGGTGTTAAAATATTCTACAGATTTTAGAGATTAGACCCTCATCGGATATGTGGTAGCCGAACATCTTTTCCCAGTCTGTAGGTTCTCTTTTTACTCTTTCGATGAAGTCTTTTGATGAGCATATGTGTTTAATTTTCAGAAGCTCCTAGTAATCTAGCTTATCTTCTGGTGTTTGTGCATTGTCAGTTATGGTTTATACTGTATTTCTGCCATGCTTTAGGGCCCCTAGCATTGTCCCTAATATTTTTCCCATGATCTTTATTGTTTTAGGTTTTATATGTAGGTCTTTGATACATTTTAAGTTAGTTTTTATGTATGGTGTGAGGCATGGGTCCTGTTTCATTTTTTTTTTAACAGATGGACATCTAGTTTTGCCAGCAGCATTTGTTAAAAACAGTGTCTTTTACCCCATTTAGTGGACTTTGGTCCTTTGTCAAAGATTAGCTGACCACAGCTGGATGGATTTACCTCTGAGTTGTCATGATTCATATCAGCATAAAAAATATATCAAGATACCCTAGACTTCAACCTATGATTTAGTACTGATTTCCACAATGTCTTGAAATTAATTTAAATTTTCTTTTCTTCCTTAAAGATGTATATCATGATTTCTTTGATACTATGTACCACCAGTTCTCAAAGTGTGGTCTGAGGACTCTCTGGTGGTTCCTAAAATCCTTTCAAGGGGTCCATGAGGTCAAAACTATTTTTCATAATAATAACAAGAAGTTAATTGCCTTTCCACACTCAGTGCACAGTTCAGTTTTCCAGAAGCTGCATGACATGGAGTATTGCAACTGTTTGAATGCAGAAGCAGACATAGAACATAGCCATCTTCCATTAAGTCAGACATTAACCAGATATGCAAAAGTGTAACATGATGCCACTCTACCCACTAAAATCTTTTTTGGAAAAATTTTTCCCACAAATGATATTATTTATGTAACATATAGTGGGCATATTATTGTAATTTTAGATAAATTAATAACTAAATATCTTTAACTTTTCTTAGCTTTATTTTTTAATATGGTAAATGTAGACAAGCATAAACCAAAACTTTTTGAGGTCATCTATGCTTTTTAATAGTATAAAGTGGTCCTGAAACAAAAAAGTTTGTAAACTGCTGGTATATATCATGTAGACAATATTGCCAGAGGTTATTCACTTGTAAGTTATGTATTTATACATCTAATGAGAAAAATGGAAACTCAGTCCTGTGTTCACTGCTGATGCAGTGTAAGCTGGTAGGTAATTTGGAAATATGTACCAAGAACTTTAACAATGTACATGTCATTTAACTAAATTCTGGGAAGTTATCCTAAGAAACTTACAAGTGATGTAGACTAAGTTTTCTACAAGGATGCTCATTGAAATGTTGTTTATAACAGAAAAAGATAGAAATAACTCTTATGTCCACAAAAGGATATTAATAAAACAAATTTTGAAGCAATGTATACTTATATGCTGTAAAAGATGTCCATAGCAACAATAAGTGAAAAAAGTCAGGTAAATTAGGACTTCAGATAAAATAGGATCCCATCATGTAAAAATACTATGGGACCACATCAAAAGTTTAAAGGATCTTTATCTGGGTGGTGCGATGATGGATACTTTTATTTTTCAATTTTTGCTTGACTATATTCATAATTATTATATTTTAGCCAACGTTTACTGAGTCGTTACCATATACCAAGTAATTTATGATCATTGTTTTAATCCTCACAGATAGGAACTATTGTTATTCTAGCTTTATAGAGGAGGAAACTGACTCAGAGAGCCCAAGGCACTTACCCAAAGTTACACCCTGGTAAGAGGTAATCAGAACCCCAGGGTTCATGGCCTACCTCAACATACAACCTAGCTTGAGAAATATATACTATCTGTATAACTTTTTTAGTTACTTGTTTTGTTTTTATTGTGGTAAATATATATGTAACATAATATGTGTCATTTCAACAGTCTTCACATGTACTTTAGTGACATTAATTGTACTCATCACATTGTGGAACTATCACCATTATCTGCCTCCAAATTTTTCCACCATCCTTAACAGAAGCTCAGTGTCCCCTAACCAATGAGTCCCCATTACTCCCTCTCCCTCCCATCTACCCCTTGTAACCCCTAATCAACCTTTGTCTGTATACATTTGCCCATTCTAGATATTTCACATAAGAGGAGTCATACAATATTTGTCCTTTCATGACTGATTATTTCATTTTTAATTTTAAATATAAATGTGTTGCTGTTAGAGTTTGGTTTTATAAGTCTTGATTTTTTGCCTAAAAGGTCTAATTACTATACAAACTAGCTAATTGTAAGAGTTGTGACAGGTCATAATGACCCAACATGCTGGGACTATTTTCTAGCGAGAAGATACTAAGAAGAGCCCAGGATTTACACACTCCTTAGGGAAGAATTTCAATTAATCCCATCACCTGGTATTTAGGTCTTTATGGACCCTGTTGCACAATTTCTCCCTGTCTGACTTTCTTGTTTGAGAACAGCTCTAACCATAGTTAATCAATCACTCCCTTAATCAGTGGTGAAGCAGTGTAACCCAATCAAAAAGTATGCATCTCACAAGGCACAAAGAACAACATTAACCATGGACTCTTGATTGAAGAAACATCCCAAAATGTCTTTTAAAGCAGATTTTATATACCTGTGGCCAAAAAATGCAAATGGTTTATCCTTGAGGAGTGGCAGCAGAGCACAAGCAATTTCATCAGCTACATCGTAGATGTCACTTGCAAAAGGTTCTTCAAATCGACTTTCTCTTCCAGCAAGCCTTATGGAGTGCACTGGAGATCGAGAAACTCAAGTTAGTACATGCAGACAGTGAGATACTGTGATGTTCTAAAAGGGCTTATACTACCATGATGTGAGCAATTTGAAAGAAACAAATGATAAATTCATGCACCAATTGGCAAAAATTGAAAAGTTTGGTGATAAAAATACTGTCCAGAATACAGAGCAATAGCCAGTTTTATACACTGCTATGGTATAAATCATTACAATTCCTTTGGAGAACAAGTTGACAATATTTCATGTTGTTGAAGACTTCTATGTCTTGTTGTTGTTGTTAGGTGCTATCGAGTCAGTTCTGACTCATAGTAACCCCATGTATGGCAGAATGAAATACTGCCTGGTCCTGCGTCATGCTCACAATCGCTGCTATGTTTGAGCCCATTGTTGCAGCCACTGTGTCAATCTATCTCATTGTGGGTCTTCCTTTTTATTCTGTTAACCTTCTCCTTTACTAAGCATGACGTCCTACTCCAGGGACTGGGTCCAGGAGTGGATTACCCAATAAGCATCAAACATATAGTGAAACCCATGTGAAACTGTGCACTATAGTAAGTAAATACAAATAATCCGGTGTGTACCTTGCTTAATGTAAGCCTATGTGTACCTTCCTTACTGGTTAATCTGACTCTGGTCTGGTCTTTCCTGATAACATGTCCGAAGTAAGTCTCGCCATCCTCACTTCTAAGGGGCATTCTTGTTGTACTTCTTCCAAGACGGATGTGTTTGTTCTTCTGGCAGTTCATGGTATATTCATTATTATTCATCAACACCATAATTCAAAGACATCAATTCTTTTTCAGTCTTCCTTATTCATTGTCCAGCTTTTGCATGCATACAAGGTGATTGAAAATACCATGGCTTGAGTCAGGCACACCTTAGTCCTCAAAGTGATATCTTTGCTTTTTAACACTTTAAAGAACATCAAAGACATAATACATGAAGAAAGCAAGAGGCCATTGACAGGACAGAATGAAAATACCAAAATGGATGTCAGAAGAGACTCTGAAACTTGCTCTTGAACACAAAGTAGCTAAAGTGAATGGAAGAAATGATGAAGTAAAAGAGCTGAACATAAGATTTCAAAGGGAAGCCTGAGAAGACAAAGAAAAGTACTATAATGCAATGTGCAGAGACTTGGAGTTAGAAAACCAAAACATGCCCAGCATTTCTCAAGCTGAAAGAACTGAAACAAAAATTCAAGCATCAAGTTGCAATATTGAATGATTCTACTGGCAAAACATTGAATGATGCAGGAAGCATCAAAAGAAGATGGAAGGAATACCCAGAGTCACTGTACCAAAAAGAAGTGGTCGATGTTCAACCATTTCAGGAGGTAGCATATGATCAAGAACTGATGGTATTGAAGGAAAAAGTCCAAGCTGCACTGAAGGCATTGGCAAAAAACAAGGCTCCAGGAACTGACAGAATACCAAATGAGATGTTTCAACAAATGGGTGCAGCGCTGGAAGTTCTCTCTCGTCTATGCCAAGAAATTTGGAAGACAGCCTCTAGCCAACTGACCCGAACATATCCATATTTGTGCCCATTCCAAAGAAAAGTGATCCAAGAATGGGGAAAACATCAAACAATGTCAATATCACACGCAAGTAAAATTTTGCTGAAGATAATTCAAAAATGGTTGCAGTAGTAAATAGACAGGGAACCACCAGAAGCTCAAGTCGATTTCAGAAAGTGACATGGAATAAGGGATATCACTGCTGATGTCAGATGGATCTTGGCTGAAAGCGAGAATACCAGAAAGATGTTTATCTGTGTTTTGTTGACTATGCAAAGGCATTCAACTGTGTGGATCATAACAAATTATGGATAACATTGCGAAGAATGGGAATTCCAGAACGCTTAATTGTGCTCATGTGGAACCTGTACATAGACCAAGAAGCAGTCGTCAGAACAGAACAAGGGAATACTTCGTGGTTTAAAATCAGAAAAGGTGTGTGTCAGGGTTGTATCCTTTCACCATACTTATTCAACCTGTATGCTGAGCAAATAATCTGAGAAGCTGGACTATATGAAGAAGAACACAGCATCATGATTAGAGGAAGACTCGTTACCAGCCTGCATTATGCAAATGACACAACCTTGCTTGCTGAAAGTGCAGAGGACTTAAAGTACTTACTGATGAAGATCAAAGACTACAGCCTTCAGTATGGATTACACCTCAACATAAAGAAAACAAAAATCCTCACAACTGGACCAATAAGCAACATCATGATAAACGAAGAAAAGATTGAAGTTGTCATTTTACTTGGATCCACAAACAACCCCCAAGGAAGCAGCAGTCAGGAAATAAAACAACATATTGCACTGGGCAAATCTGCTGCAAAAGACCTCTTCAAAGTGTTTAAAAGCAAAGATGTCACATTGAGGACTAAGGTGCGCCTGACCCAAGCCATGTTATTTTCAATCGCCTCGTATGCGTGTGAAAGCGGAATGATGAATAAGGAAGACTGAAGAAGAATTGATGTCTTTGAATTACAGTGTTGGCAAAGAATATTGAATGTACTATGGACTGCCATAAGTACAAATATATTTGTCTTGGAAGAAGTACAGCCAGAATGCTCCTTAGAAGCTACAATTGTGAGACTTCGTGTCATGTACTTTGGACACGTTATCAGGAGGGACCAGTCCCTGGAGAAGGATATTGTACTTGGTAAAGTACAGGGTCAGCGAAAGAGAGAAAGACCTTCAATGAGATGGACTGACACAGCGGCTGCAAAAATGGGCTCAAACACAGCAATGATTGTGGGGAGGTGTGGGAGTAGCCCCCGCTGTTGCAGCCAAGGTGTCAGGAACAAATGCCACCGACTGAGTGAGGCTGTTTAATTAGTATCCAAGAAATAGAGGAAGGGGAGAGGTAGAAAAAAAAATTGAAGATATAATGACTGAAGATTTTCCAAATTTAATAAAAATTCTAAATCTGCAGAGCCTAAAACCTCAATGAATCCCAAGCATGATAACCACAGCAAGGTGTATCATAATCAAATTGCTAAAAACCAGTAATAAAGAGATGATCTTAAAAATCAGTCAGAGAAAGAAAACCAATTGCTTACAAAGTAAATAATATTGCTGGGTTCTTATAAAAAATGATGCAAGTCAGAGGACAATGGAATGGCATCTTCAGAGTGATGAAACATAAAGCAATCAGTCAACCTAAAATCATAAGGCTGGATAAAATATTTTTATTTCAAATATATGATGAGGGTAAAATACAGTTTCAGTTTGCTAAGAGAACTGAGACTGAAGGAAAATGATTCCAGATAGAAACTCAGATCTAGACAAAGATAGAGGGCCAAAAATGATAAAAATGTGGATAACTATAGAATATTTTTTTCTCATTTTTTAAAAGACAATTGATTATTCAAAGCAAAAAAAAAAAGAAAAAAGAAAGAAAGCAAAAGAACCATAGAAGTAAAATGTATGATGATAGCTAAATGACAGGAGAGGAGAAATAATTAAGTACAATGTTGTAAATTTCTTAAATTTTACGTCAAATGGTATAATATTATTTGAAGGCAGACTGTGATAAGTTAAAAATGCATATTGTAAATTTTAGAACAACTACTAAAACAATAAAACAAAGAGCTATAGCTAATAAGGCAATAGTGGAGATGAACAAAACATTTTTAAAAATACTCCATGCAAAAAAGAAAAATCGAACAAACAACAAATGGGACAAATTGAAAACAAATTTCATGACAGAAGACATCAATTCAACCATATCACTAATTACATTAAAAATAAGTCAAGGGTTGGAATGCCATCTCCTGAAAGGACTCTTAACGAAACTACTCTCAATGATGAAATAAAAGTAACACAATTTCTTTCTTTAGATATATAAAAATTACCTTACTGAAGAACAATTTTGAATACTAATTATGGTAAATTACCTACCAGCAGGGAAATCTTTACCATGCTTCAAATTACTACATGTGCATGTTATCTGACTTTATAAGCTGCTTAGATGGTTATGAAAATTAACTTACCTTCCAGTGAAGCATGAATCTTTTGGCCCCATTTGGCAAAATGAATGGAGCCACTTCCTGCCCAGGGAAAGCAAATTAGTCTAAAAATTGCATTTGGGTTTTGGTATAAGCAGTTTACCACCTTTCCATTCCTACGGAGAAAATTCAAATATATTTAATATTAGGCATTTTTAAATGAAAATCTTTAGTAATTATAAAGATCATATGCTCAAATATAAACTGGTTGGTAAATTTTTCCAGTAAGAAAGATGAAAAAAGTTTTTTTTTTTTAATTTTGTTTTTGACAATTTGAGTATATAACTTTTAGGGTTGTAGATAAAATCAAGTATCTATATATAGCATTTAATAAATACATTTCATATACACATTTAAAATGTTTTATCATATGAATGTTAATTTAGAAATTGCTTTTTCCTCATTTTTCACAATTCAGGGAATAGTTTTATCCAAACACTTCATGAGCAGCTTCAATATCAGTGTCTTCATCATCACTAGAGCCACTTTTTTTGGGTCATCTAAAAGTTTTCCAGAGTATGTAATTCTCACTTCCTTCTGAATGTTTGATATATAGTACTTTTTAAAGCTCCATATAAGGCTGTCACTGGAAATTTTAGTCCAAGATCCAAGTACCCATTCACCTAATATTAGGATAAACCAAAAAAAAAAAAAAAGCTATAGAATCAGTTATGACTCATGGTGACCCCATGTATTTCAGAGTAGAACTGCACTCCATAACGTTTTCTTGGCTGTAATCTTAACAGAAGTAGGTTGCCAGGCCTTTCTTCTGCAGTGTCACTGGGTGGATTCAGACTGCCAACATTTTGGTTAGTAGTCAAGTGCAAACCATTTGCACCACCCAGTAACCTTAATATTAGGATAGTTTTTTTAAAAAGAAAATTCATTCTATATGTACATATTGCATTCTTCATAATTTAAACACAGCGAGTTTTCAAATTGATTATTAAATTGTTTAGAAAGATACACAATCCTTCCAAATATGAGGTCATAAACTCTAGAATAATAATATCCTTCCTCCTTTTTTAAAGTACCAGTCTTGTCAGTTGATCACTATAAACATTCAAAGCTACCACTTATTAAGATCTTGTCAGATTAACACATTTTCTCTAAAGAGGACACTGAGTTTCAAAATAAAATGAGAGACTTTATAAGAACTTGAGTATAAATCATTTCCTGAAAAATAATATCTGAAGAAAAATTTCTTGCCTTGTATTCGAACACGTATGTTAATAATTGCTAGCTTAAAGACAAAAGCAAAAAGGGCTGATTTTATTTTTTTCTTTTGAAGAGGAGCATTCATACTGAAGGCTTTTTCCCACTAACCAACACCGTCCTCAACAAATTCATTGATATAGATTAGTCCCAAATGAAAATTTCCTAGGTACTCACCATCTCTTTGAAAGAAGTCTAGAGTCATTTATCAAGGAGTGTAAGAACCTTCAACAGAGCCTAGAAACTACAGAGTTTTGGAATAAAAACTACAGAGCAAATAGGTGACTTTTCAGAGCCTCATTTTTCGAGTTATTGAAGAGTATAGAAAAATTAACCTGAATTCAATAATATTTCTTTAAAACAATTCCAAACACAACTATAAATGTACAAACAGCAGAAGACAAATTAGATAACTGGGATCTCATAAAAATTAAATACTTATGCTCATCAAAAGACTTTATCAAAAGAGTAAAAAGACACCTACAGACTGGGAAAATATCCTCAGAAACAACATATCTGATAAGGGTCTAATCTCTAAAATACATAAAAACTTCAACAACTCAAAAACACAAAGACAAATAACACAATTAAAAAATAGTCAAAAGACATGAACAGACATTTCACCAAAGAGGACATTCAAGCAGCCAACAAAGTCATGAAAAGATACTCGCAATCATTAGCCATTAGAGAGATGCAAATTAAAACAACAGTGAGATACCATCTCTACCCTACTAAAATGGCACTGATTAAAAAAAAAAAACAAAAAACAGAAAACAACAAATGTTGTTGAGGGTGCGGGGAGATTGGAACCCTTATCCACTACTGGTGGGATTGTAAAATGGTACAGCCACTATAGAAAACACTATGACGCTTTCTTAAAAAAACTAGAAATAGAACTACCTTATGATCCAATAATCCCACTTCTAGGTATTGTTATGGATTGAACTGTGTCCCCCCACCTCAATACATGTGTTGTAAGTCGAAACCTGTATGCCTCTGATTATAATCCCATTTGGAAATGGATTGTCTTTGTTATGTTAATGAGACAGGATTAACGTAAGGTGTATCTTGAGTCAATCTCTTTTGAGATATAAAAAACCAAAAAACTAAACCCATTGCTGTCGAGTTGATTCTGACTCGTAGTGACCCTATAGGACAGAGTGGAACCGCCCCATAGAGTTTCCAAGGAGTACCTGGTGGATTCAAAGTGCCAACCTTTTGGTTAGCAGTGTAGCTCTTAACCACTACACCACCAGGGTTTCCTTTTGAGATATAAAAGAGATTAAATGCAAGCTAGCAAGCAGAGATGGGGAAAGACAGATGTCAAGACACATGGAGCTCTCCAAGGAAACAAGAAGCAGAAGCTGAAGAGACAAGAACATTCCTCCAGAGACCACAGAGAGAGAAAGCCTTCCTCTAGAGCTGGTGCTCTGAATTTGGACTTCTAGGCTCCTAAACTATGAGAAAATAAGTTTCTGTTTATTAAAGCCACCCACTTGTGGTATTTCTGTTATAGCAGCACTAGATAACGAAGACAGGTATATACCCTACAGATCTAATACTAAAGGCACAAACACATATGCACACCTACGTTCATTACAGCACTATTCACAACAGCAAAAAGATGGAAACAACCTAACTACCTGTCAACGGATGAATCGATAAACAAAATGTGGTACGTACATACAATGGAATACTTTGCAGCCATAAAGAATAATGAAGAGAAGAATTCTGGGAAGACGGTGGTGTAAACAAGCCATTGTTCCAACCCTCCCCTACAAATACAACAAGAAACACAAGGAAATGGTGCTTGCCTTTGAAGGATTCTGAATCGGGGAGCAGAGGAAAGCAGTGGGAATTGCAGACAGGCAAGAATCAACAAATCAACAACAAGTCACGTATGGCAGCAAAATCGCTTCTCCCACCATCCTTGCCCCTCCTCGAGTCACACAGGCCTGCTGGTTGCTCTGAACTGGGGTAGTGGCCCCAGAAAAAGACCTTGCTTCTCTAACCACCACAGCCCCTGACTGAACATAGAGACAGGTCCCCAAGCTTCTGCCCTAAAATCAAGGCAGACCTCCCTGGGGGCCCATTTGGAGTGTGCCAGAACCTCCCCCACCAAGACAGTGTCTGTTGCAAGCCTATTTAGCATTGCTACAGAAGGCCCATGCAGTGAAGTCTGCTCTCAGAGTCAACACTCTAACTGCCTCCCTACACACGTCATAGCTCAAGCCTCTGAAACTAACAGGACAGACCTCCTGAGGAGTCAGTTCTGGTCTGTCTGCTCCCCCTTACAATTGGCACTGCTGACTGAAGCTGCTGTGTACTCCGTGCTAGGAAGCATGCATCTTGAGTGGAGGCTAAACCCACAGCCAAAATGCTATGGGGTGGTCTCTGATAGCAACAAGGCAGACCTCCTTCGGGGTCCATTCAGAGTGTAACTACCCCTCCCCCAACCGATAACTGTCAGCTGCTGGACTGACACAAACTCCTAGAGAAGGTTCCTAACAGTGGAGTCAGGAGGTAGGTCACCTAAGTGGAGACTGCTCCCCCAATCACCACAGGGCTCTGAGACCAACAAGACAGATCTTTCAGAGGCCCTTCTGGGGAGTGCCAGCCCCTCCTCCTCCTGAAACAGAGGAAAGTCTGCCTCTGCTTCCCCTGAATGCCAGCTCAGATATAAGCAGCCCCCACAGAGGAGGGAAGGAAACCATGGGCAAAACTGGAGAGCGACACCCAGACCCAAAGGGGGCTTTCTGGGTGTAGGTTTTCTAACTGAAAACATGATTGCAGAAACAGAGAAGGAAAGCGAGTAATAACCAGAAGAGGGAACTGTGTCCCTTGGTGGACAGATTGATTAGTACATGATATTTCACCAGTCTGTCCACTGACCTGACTGCAGCATGAGTTTCTTGCAGAAAGTAGCCAGGCAAAAATACCAAATATTGGGGAAAACTGAGAAAGTTAACAGTCTCAAAAATTCCAATGCCTCAACAAAAAATCACAAGAGACACCAAGAACAGAGAAACAATGCTCCATCCAAATGGACATGACAAAGGGAATGAAAGCACATCTAGGGATGATCAAATAATGAAAAAAGGAAGAATATAATACAACAATATTAAACATAGTTAAAGAACTAAGGGAATACATAGACAGAGAGCTAAAAGAAACAAGGAAAACAATGCAAGAACAAAATGAGGAACTAAAAAGAAATATTCCAATTGAAAGGGACAATAACTGAAATGGAAAACACAATAGAAGGACTTACCAACACATTTAATCAGGCAGAAGAAAGAATCAGTGAATTCAAGGATAAGATAGTTAAAATCACAGATGCTGAAGAGCAACAAGAACAGAGTCTCAAGAAGGCTGAGCACAGTTTAATGGAATTATGGGACAATAAGAGGCCTAATACATGCATCACGGGAATTCCAGTAGAAGATAAGAGAGAAAAAGGGACAGAAAGAATATCTGAAGAAATAATGAAATAAAATTTCCCCAGTCTAATGAAGAACATGAATCTACAAATCCATGAAGCTCCAGGAATGCCAAGCAGGATAAACCCAGAGATCTACACCAAGACACACCATAGTTAGGCTCTCAAAAATTAAAGATACAGAGAATCCTGAAAGCAGTGAGAAAAAAGCAAAGAGTCTCATACAAAGGATCCCCAATAAGATTAAATGCCAATTTTTTTTTCTCAGAAATACTGGAGGCCAGAAAACAATGGAATGATATATGTAAAGTGCTGAAAGAAAAAAAAAAACTATCACCCAAGAACACTATATCCAGTGAAACTATCATTCAAGAATGAGGGTGAAATTGAAACAAAAGCTGAGAGAGTTCGTATCCACAAGACTGGCCCTACAAAAAATACTAATGAGAGTTCTGTGGATGT